GGCTAACCAAACTATCATCTTGTACCCTACATTTGCCCTGCAAAGTATCTATCAACTCTTGTTTAAACATATTTAATAATAGCAAAATGTGGATGAAAAGCCTTAATTCAAAAAAAAGCTTCAATAATTCACAAATGAACACATTCATTCCTTGCAATTTTACTATTATAGGAGTCCTATTTATAGGAAATCATAGTGCAGGCAAGAACCCTCATGTTATTAACACTTACACCATTTGCTGTCCAGCTGATTACATTTATCACAGGAAATTATGTCTAATAAACACATGTTTCTAAAGAGATGCATCATTAGTAGAAAATAAACCTTTATTTCAGTGTCAACCTAGCGCACATTTCAGAAGAGTTCATCCATTTTGCCCACTGGAGGCTGCTCTGAACTCCCTTACCTGCTGAAGGTGTTGCTCTTATTACTTCTACTCCTACTGGGAGATCAAGAGGTCGGCTATACACCAGTCTAGAGCTCAGAATCAGCTTACTAGCAGTCTGAAGGTTGGCAATTGATGAAGAATGTGGCATGGGGCTCACACTAGGAGAGGTTTCTGGAGAAGAGTCTACATTCTTCTGTCCAGGGACTAAAAGTAGGCTCTCTGACGAAACACCTTCTGAAGTTTTAGCTTTGAAAATAAATTATGAAATACATTACTATCACCACCATGTACATGAGTTAGAATAACATTTTGTTAGCATTTAAGAAACATGGTCTTCAAAAAAAATGGTCTCACACAACATTGTAAACTGACTATACTTCAATAAAAATATATTTTTTTTAAAAAAAGAAACATGGTCTCTTAAAAGTACTCAGGAGACAAAGTCACTTTTCAAACTTTTGCTCAGTTACCTTGATAGACTTTTTTTTTTTTTAACTGTTTTACTCTTTCTGAGCATACCCAATTCCATCACAGGGATATTGTCACTGAAGAATCACAGCATGAAAGAGCTAGGAAAAAAAAACAAGTTATCTCGTCCAGTGTTCTCAACCTTTAAAAACCATTAAAAGCTTGAGGAACTTGTTAATACCATGAAGATTCTCCGGCCTAACCACAGAAACACTGACTCAGCTGTTTTGGGACAGATCCCAGAAACCTGCATTAATAAGTAGCCAAGGTGTTTCTGAAAGAGATGGGTCATAAATCAAACTCTGATGAGAAATAAGATTAACAATAAGATACAAGACACCTCACTTAATAGATGAAGAAATTTAAACTTGGAGAGCTTAATGATTTTCCTAAGGTCATATAATTAGCTAGTGGCAAAGACAATACTAAAATACCAGCCTCTTAAATATCAAGTGTTGAAACAAGATAATAAACAAGATTTTAAGAACATATACAAAAAAATTAAAGTTCCACGCAAATTTAAGATAGCATTAGTTGAATGGCTTTGTAAGGCATATTGACCTTGATCTTCTGTCCAAAGAGCTTCCAGCTTTCACATTAGGGTGGAGTGTAAATCTCTAAGCAGATTTAGTTATCTGCACCTCTGCTACATGTGAAGGATACTTCTTATTACATTTACGTATTTGTATGTCCATCTCCCCACCCCTCCACATTAGACTATGAACTCCTCGAGGGCAAGGACGATGACTTATTGCTCTGTACAACCCAAGAACCACCAGAATCCTGAGAGATGATAACCAATCTCCTTTTGCTTCTAGTGGATGCTAAGTATGTCGATCTGTTTTATAGTGGCAGACCACTCAGCAAGAAATATAGAAACATTTTCCATAAAATGGAGTAAAGACTACACTGTAACCAGTCAGAAGACAGAAATGATACTCCTGGCTCTAAAACTAACTAGATGTGCTTCCTTAGGCAGGGCACTTCACCACCTCTGGCTATTTCCTCATCTGCAAAATGAACTACATCATTCCTCTTTCTGTAACCAGGCAATTTTCTTATGTATAAATCTCATGCAGAGAAAGAAAGAGCAGGAGAGAAAAAATAAGTAAAGGCTTTAGAGCCAGAAGACCTGATTTTTGAAGCTTAGTCTGTGACAAACTAGATGTGGGATTTGGTCAAGTTACTTAATATTATTCCATTCGTAAACGTTGAATAATAACCATCTCACATATATTAAGTACTGATGTCAGTGCCTGGTACCTAGAAGGCACTCCAAATGTTGCTTCTCCATCTAAACATAAACCTATCACTGCACCCTTTGCCAGGATTTTCAACACACTGCTAAACTCAAGTATCAGCTTTAATGGCAATGCACACCATGTTAAATCTGCCGCACGTGTTAGAACCAAAAGACAGATGCTTTCTGTCATAGCTAAAGACAGTACATGATTTGTCTGCCTCTATAACCTTACTGTTTGTGACCTTTTACTGCTGCCACAAACACAGCAAGCAACCAACTCTACACTGGCCCAGACTGAGGTGAGCAGCAGTGGGCTACTTCCTTCATAAGCAAGGGGACAGAAGGCATCACATGAATCCTGTCCTACCACAAGGATCTGTTACTACCTCTACTAATCTCTCCAGAACCATTCCAGGCTCTGTGCCCAACTCCAGAAAATACTATATTCTCTGATGTGTTTTTCCTTGAGTGTATTTTGCCAAGTGAAGTTAGTCAGATGGACAAAGATAAATACTACATGATTTCACTCATATGTGAAATATTTTTAAAAAGTATTAAATAAACAAACAAAACAAAACACACACACAGATATGGAAAACAGACTGGTGGTTACCAGAGGGGAAAGGTGATGAGGAGAGGACAAAATAGGTAAGAGGGGGTCAACTCTATGGTGACAGATGGAAACTGGACTTTCGGTGGTAAGCATACTACAGTGCATTCAGAAGTCGAATTAGAAAGCTGTACACACTGAAACGTACATAGTGTTATAAACCAATGTTATCGCAATAAAAAAACTTTTCTTCCTGACAAGGTGGTTTTAGGTCCCTCTACTCTTGCATTTCTGTGAAACAACATGTAATGTCAAGAATTAACTCCACAAGCTTTGAAAATGTTTTTAGATTCCCCTACCACAAGAAAATTATGCTCAACTAGGCACAGGTAAAGGTTCTATCAAATCATTTGGTCTTTTTAATGCCAGTTCACGACCCAGTTAGAACTGCTGTTTACACAGTTACGTGCTAATGTGAATTACAAAGGGAACAAAAAACATATGTATTGTTATTTCTCTGTATTAAATGCTTAATGTGTATAAAATCATTTAAATTACATAATCAGAAATAATAAAATATTTTCAAAACTTTCAAATATCTAGGGTTAACCAGTTTAAAGCAGATTTAGTTTGATATGGCTGTCCACGCAGTTCTTCATTTAAACAGGAAAGTAAAAGAAAGGTCTTAAAAAGAAAGATTCATAATCAATTTCTGTACTTCATACTACAGATTTTCTAATTTGCTAAGAACGTATATAGTATGAATGTGTACAGCAGAAGCCGAGGGTGAAAAAGATTTTATCACTGTTGCATTTCCTAATATTTTACAGAAATAGTACTGCTTATGAACTTAGATGTTCAATCACATTTTTCTAAACAGCAAATCTGCTTCTTTTAGTCATGCCACAGCTAATGTACACAGTATAAGTTGGCAGTGTGTTATTAACCAACCAAAAAGTACAGTATTAATTCTATGCGAAAAACTGATTTATAGAGACACAGTATCTAGAACAGAGTCATAATAGGCATTAATATTAAATAGTAATTAAAATAAATCAAATTTTTTTCCAATATGTCTAATGTGCCTATTCGCTGGTTTGCTTTTAGATTAACCTGTTTCATTAATGATTTATGACCCTGTAATTAAAAGTTTGGCATATACATACTTCAATTCAGCAACTCAACTTACAGTTTATTGAATCTTCATTCTAGAGAATTAACCGACCTAAAGCATATCCCGTAAAATAAATTTATTTCACATTATCTCTGTTTAAATCTGAAATTAAATTACTGGAACTGGTATCCCTGATTATTATTTTTAAACTATTTTCTCATAAAGTATTTTAAATACACAGAAAGTCATGGATTAATTAATATAATGGATATTTCTGAATCCATACCCTGATTTACCAAATCTTAACATTTTACCAAATTTGTTTCTTAAAATAGCACAGGATTATAATAAAGTCATTTTTGATTAAAAATTTTTAAAAAAAAATTAAAATTGCAATACAATTACTCACCTAAACATGCCTGTACGGATTTAAGATGAAGGTGCCACATATGGAGAATAGAGCAATTATTGCTGTCCTTCTCAATTACTACTAGAAAGAACTTTTCTGAAAACGGTGGTGGGCGATATCCTATTGTCAAAGGAAAAGGATATTTAAGTTAATATGTTTCCATAGGGTTAGAAGAAAGACTTTTTAAAAAAAAAACTCTCGATATGTATAAAAGGGGGGAGGAAGAGGGAAGGTGTTCAGAAGCAATTTTATATAATTTTTCTGCCAAACTATCAAAAACTAATGGGGCTATGTCCAAAGTATGAAAGCCAACTTGAAGGGATATCTTTTGATAAAGATGGGACCATCAGAACATCAAAGAATAAAAAGGAATACAATTTATTAAAACATAATGACTACATGAAAACCATAAGTTCATAAAAATAACAGGAGAGGGCACATCAGAAAGAAAGGAAAGGAAGGACAAGAAGGAACAGAAGAGAAAGAAGGAGAAAAAGGAAGAGAAAGAAAAGAGAAAGAAAGTGCCCCTCAAAGTAACTGGGGCACTGACTCCTTCTTGGAAAATTGGCAATTAAATGGAAAGAATGAAATAAACATATATCCTGCTCTTCTTATATGAAAGTAGCATTTAAAAAAAAATTAAAAGTCATGGGTGGAGGGCCATTTGTAGTGGTACAGGACTTTTTAGAAATTTCACACTTTTTTTAATGAAAAGATATTATTCGTGGACATAATTTTCTCTGCATTTTTCATATATGAAAATGAGATTGACACAGGACAATAAAAACTTTCTTTAAAAATGAAAACCCATAGATTATATGAAATCATGTGTGTGAAACTTTTGAAAATTATAAAGCATTACAGAATTTAAAGAATCTTTCATTCAATAAAAATAAACAAATATTTGAAAAGAGAAAAAAACTGAAAACTCGTAATGATAACTCATTGGCAATGAGCACTACTAGAATTCAAATGGTGGCCTCTAAATATCATGCTCCATGAAAAGGAATAGTTCGGACCAATCTTGCAAAGACTACAATAGAAGTCTGGGAAATCCTGCTGTGTCTGAAAGAAAGTAAACTATCAAGAACAATGAGGTTGTGGCAAAGACTCAGGATCAACTTGAAAGGACAATGTGAGCCTTGGAATCAAGACTGCAAACTGACTGAAATACACTAAGCACATAAAAATCCATGAGCGATGAGTACGTCTTTGTATGTATATTGCTCTTCAGTAAAGAGTTTTTTAAAAACTCAAAATAAAGACAAACAAAAATAATAAATTCATCAGTAACCACTGGCAATAACTTGGACACAAACTCCTTCCTCTGAAATTGTCAATTGAAGAAAAAGAACTAAGCACTTACCCTGACTTTTCTAAAAATAATTCTATTTCAAAACAGCCAAATAGCTCCAGTTGAGAAGGGAAAGCTTTTCTTTACAAACGCTTTCTAGCTAATAAATAAATGAGAACTGATAAAATTAGAAAACTAATTTTGCAATCATTAACGAAATAACTGAATGAACAGCAACAATATCAAAGGAAGAAAATGAGATAACAGATTACTAGCAAATTTCACATTGGAGTCACTACCTGAATGTTCTCATTGCCTTTTTGGGTTTTTTTCGGGGGAGGAATTTAGGTTTATCTACTTATCTATTTACTTAAATGGAGATACTAGGGATTGGACCCAGGACCTTGTGCATGCTAGGCATGCACTCTACCACTGAGCTATATCCTCCCCCTCTTCTAACTGAATGTTCTGAATCTTAGCATCACTAAAAATGAGACAGCCTAACATTATGCTCTTTCTCATATCCTTCTATGACAGACACAGCATCACCTAGGAAGTTGAACCTGGATCTAATCAAGTCTTAAAAGCTAACTTCCACTTTTCAGAAAAAATTGTAAATGATGTCACAAGTAACTGTCACACAAACTCCTGTAAAAAAAACTTTCTCTAAAACAAGTCAATGGCAAGATAAGAGTATACATGGGGATTACTTTAGCTTAAAAGAGTCTTAAAAAATGAAACACAATGTGTGGATTTTATTCCAAACAAATTGATGGCAAATAAATAACCCTGACATTTTTTGAGACAAATGAATGAAGTAAATATGGACTAGTTATTACACAATTCTGAGGAATTTTGTTGTTTTAGCCATGTGTTAATAGAACATATATAAGAAAGTCATGTTTAGAAATGCATATACAAGTATACAGCAGTGAAACATGATGGCTGGGTTTGCTTTAAAATATTTCAGGAGAAAAGGAAAAGAAAAGAAAACAGGGTACGTAAAGCAACTGTGACAAAATCTTAAAATCATGTACGCTATGGGCACAGGGAGGTTCATTCGACCATGCACTGTACTTCTATCTATAGTTGGCATTTTTCTTAATTAAAAGAATAATTCATTTTTAATGAAAACTTAGAAAGTACAAAATACAGCGGGGGGGGAGAGGAGAAATACACATATCAAATCTAAAAAACAGTTATAAAATCAAGAATATCAGGAAACTCTGCACAAAAACTAAAAGAAAACCAAGAAAGGCATTGGGAAATCTTTTGTCCAGGTTTCACAGTGACAAAGAAGTATCAGAAGAGGTAAATTAAAACAATTTTTAATGCAAGTCTTTCAATTTAAAATATTACTTTAAAATACCAACCTTATATAAGCATTGTTTTCTGGTAGGCTGGCATGTATTTCCTGTTAGAAATAGCATGATAAATGGTAGCTAGATTTGTTGGAAAGCATATAAAAAAGTTTAACCCAAATAAAGGTGAAATACTACAAAAAAATGCACATTTTAAATCTATAAAGTACTGTTATGCTGTAGTGACAGTGAAATAAAACTGAACATGACAAATGAATAACTTAGAAAGAAGAAAAGTTCTAATAAATGAAGAAAGACACATGAAAGGGAAAAAAGTCACTAGTATGAG